AAAATGCATTACGCTAATCAGAATGGAACAAAAATTAACAAGCAAGTGACTTCGTGACCAAGTCATGTCTGATACGGTCTTCGACCATTCATGTGGACCGTCGCGAGGTTATCATACAGGAAGACGGCACGCGCCAGTCTGACCAAGTGTCAGAGTCAATTTATTCAAGCTTCTATGCTATGTCATGGATTGGCCCCCTCGAGGTTTTGCCCAACTTGGTGCAGCCAAGGCGTGTAATGCACGCCGAGGAAGCAGATCAAAAGGCTTACGGATGACATGGCCTAGCTAACGGCAGCGACTAGCATTTAGCACACTCGAGAGAGGCACGTGCTACGTATGCCTGGTCACCGCTTACCTAGAAGGGCCTTGTTTAGTCTGCCAGGTGTAGGGTGGCGCAAGGCTCGAGATGGACAGAACTTAACTTGGCAGCGGGAAATGAAGTCACTGACGACCAAACTGGGGGCCGTTGGTAAGTCTCGCCTTCCGGGCTGGAGTGCATGTGACCCGTCTTTTGCTTGACTCGAGACTTTACAGGACATGGATGGCAGTCGACACCAGTGGTGCGTCTGCTGCCGTCTCTTCATCGGATTGCCTGTTTAATGTGTGTTTGGTGCTGAGTTAGAGACTAGCTAAGTTACGACCACCGGTGCCTTCATAATTTAGCTCACATTTGGTGGGAACACCGCGTGAGCAACGAGCGTGTTCGACGCCTTGTTTATGGCACAGGAAAAGGAAATGAACCGCTCAGCACCGTTATTGCACGCATCAGGCTCCGATGGCTCGGCCACGTGTTACGCATGCCAGCCCACCGACTACCGCGACGTGTGTTGTTTGCGCGCCGGGGGTGTGGATGGAAGAAGAGGAGGGATGGCCAAGCAATGACTTGGTCGAGAGGAATGAAGGCCCTCACTACTTAGCTGGCCTCGGTTGGAGCGTCTCGGCTCCCTGGTTTGGGTCCGAAAGACGATGAACACATTTGGTTGGACACACTTGCTGATATGGCAAGGAGCCGACCTCAGTGGCGTTCGTGCTGGTTGTTTCTTTGTCCTACCCCATCCCTCTTAGCCTCCCCCTTCAACCACAATCTCATTATTTAGCCTTATATAATATTGCGTAATAATTTTTTTGGGTGCACAGCAGCCGGCTGGTAGCTTACCAGAACGATGCCCATCCGTTACCGGTAGCTCAGTCAGCTTGCACCAGTTGTTTTTTTCTCTCTCTCTTTTTTCTATGTATTGCGGCACAGTAGCTGAGGTGTTTCCCACCTCTAGCTAACGTGTATGATGATGATGATGGTGCTGAGTTATCTGCGGGGTAATGGCTGATTAAGACGCGTGGCAGTGAAAGCCGCGAGGAAGCTGTCTCGCCGATGCTGCCTTATCTTTGCACGATAGCCAGCTGTTTGTGACGGTATGTTGTCTACACAAGGTGCAGGCGTCTTGATCCTGGATGTTTGCTTAGGGCATTAAGGGTTTTCAGGTAAGTCCCCCTTCTCTCTCTTCTTATTCTTTATTTCACAGGTCTTCATGGTTGTATGGCAGCGAAGCATCAGCTCAAATGGCTGATGTACTGCTGTTGATGATGAGAGAGGCACCAGAAGGCTTCTTGCAAAAAGCCCACTGGTGGTCTTCAGCATTGCTCACCCGGTGTTCCAAACAAACATGAGCAATACTCTCGCAAGCACCGGTGGTCAAGCACGGGCAAGTGTTTAATGCCTTTGCTACAAAATGGCTGTCTCCGATCCACACAGTAACACTGGTATTATCGCAGTATTATACACCCTATCTTACACTGACAAGCTGCTATCCCGCCGTCTCCATGGATGGTAGAGTCTTTGGGAAACCACCCGGGCCTTGCCTGAAGATCAGATATGTAACCAAGTGACTCCTCGGTAGTGTTGCGATGGCTCAAACATCTGTTCACTTGTGTCAGATTAACAGAGAAAGTGGTCAAAGACAATGCTGTAGTTACGACTTTGAAACATTCTTCCGACGTCATAAAGTATTCCCGGACTGTACACTACAATCCTGCAGCTAATGACATGGAAGAGCGGCTTGATCGGTTTCTCAAGGAGGTAATATAGGGAATCTAATTAGGAGGGGTAGAGTGGGAAGATGCTGCCTTAACGGTACAGAATCTGTGAATATAGAGCCACAGGAAGAAAACGTCGGCGAAGCTAATGCTTAGAAGGTTCTTACGCAGTAAATTAAATGCTGCACAAAATAGTATGTCAATTTTTACAGAGGCCAGAGTGCCGAACCGCATAGCAAGCTACTAACAATTCTAGGCTAAATCTTCGATTCCACTGCAGTCGGATCAAAAATAGAAGTACTGTAAAGGGTCACCCGACCGCTGTGAATCCCCCACGTATATGGGCCTGGCACATATCGACTGAAAAACGGCTTGAATGTTAATAGCCGTCGGCTTTACAGAGCAATTAGACTGAACCCTCAGACCAGTAAAGAAACATGAAAGTCAGAAGGGTCTGATACACCGCTGCACCAACTACACAGGTCCGGACGGGCCACAAAGTCAATTGATAGATACCAACCTGCATGAAACTAACATGCCAATGTGGGTGATTGTGTTGTGATACACTACCTTGAGCTTACTTAGAATGGTCGAACTGCGCTCAATGCTGACTGACCGACCAACCGAGTTGTAAGATTTTATACGTGTCGTTCAAACGATTGTTTCCTCTTCGTTTATTTTGTACAATATACATCTGCTGCATCTGGATTTTTCTGATATAGCACAGAACAAATAGTCCCAGAGTACATCGATCCACATAAGCAAAGGAACCGCCGGTGTCAAGGAATACGGCTACAGTGGGTCGCCAATAAATATGGCAGTGGTTCAACAATCGATAGATAAAATATAGTCTCGATTTCGACGAAACCAAACTAGTTCTTCACAGATTTGGATTTCAAGAGTGTCAGTTAACCTGTGAAGAATGAAAGAGGAGCGATAAAGATAGGACTGGTTAAACTATAGCTGGTGCATTTCGAACATGAACTCTGTGAAAATCGGGAAGATAACGGAGCAGCGCCAGTCGGCTGGGACAGTCTCTTGCTCCCGCAGTTTCATTAATAATCGTCAAATGCAGCTGATCCCCAGAATACGAAGAGGTCAGGAGGAAGCCGATCTGATCTTACAGAGTTATAGCATTACAATAGTGAGATCTCACGTTCTAATTCTGACGGAGACGGCAGATCCAAAAGAACTGGCGAAGAGCAGGGAGATTGTTGGCCGGCAAAGAAGCTGGTAGTCCAGGTGGATTAAATGAGCCTTCAAAGTGTTAAGTACTAAACGCGAAGGATTTTAAAATGTTGCGAATGGAACGTCTACTTTCGTCGCAAATAGCTTCGCTTTCCGTTTCCCCGATCAAACTTACAATAAGTACCAAGGGCAACGGCTGTTTTCATTTCCGATGCACGATAAGACAACCAGATTTCATGGTCTCTACTAAGGCTAGCATCCAGTAGTTTCACTGAGAGCTTTGTGAATCTCGTGTTCATGTACAGCCAGAATGCGTCGGCGAACATCCAGAAACGAAGTAAAGGCCCAATATCAACGTTAACAGTCAGGCTTAACACAAGACAAACCTGCTGTTAACAACGTCTGGTGAGGACGCAACCAGTGATCAACTGTGTTTGATGAGCGTCTACTAAGTTCGGATGCTCGTGTGCTTTGATACGTGTTCAAAAGACCTGATTTCGCTATTTGACAGGTGCCTGTGCTTACAGCATCGTGGCAGATATCCACGGAAACACACCTGGAGATCTCCACAAACAAGCGTATTGTCAGAGTTCCCGGTTGTGATCCAAATCGATCGGCGGTTTGGGACGTAGTCTCTCCAATGGCAAATAAGCGTACTGTGATCAATTTGCGTCCATAGCTGGTGGGTGCCGTGTGTTTGGCGTTAGTACTCACAAGAAATACGAAAGCGTTTTCACACAAATGAAGCAAGCGCTCACTGTTACAATTACGGGAGCCTAAACCATGTTGGCCGCCCAAATGCAGCTCATTAGCGGACAATTTTTCAACCTGAGCGCGCAGATCACCAGCCAGTAGTAGAGTATCAGTCCCTTTTCTGTAAAGAGGGAGTGCGTTCAGTAAGTGATAGTCGTAGGGCGTAGACCGCAATGACAAACAATCACTGTTTGTTCCCAAGCGACTTCGATGCTTGGAACGAGTCAACCAATCTGACGGCGCACGTCCGACTGTTCATTGGGATCCGATCGACCAGGGCAGCTTTAGCCCGGGGGATCAGAGTAATGCCTAAGCTGGTTTGACCGGCATTTGAAGCCGCATCAACTCCGGACAAGCGTAACGAGAAAATAGCGTCAGTATCGCATGTGAGGGATCGCAGAGTAATCACAGAATTGGAATCATTCAGGCGGATTTCTGATAAGCAGCAATGACCGACTGAGAAGGTCTTTCATTGATGTTTAAATGTTGCCTATTGACTGCTCATTAACGAGGTGAGCCCACTGAGGTGTCCCAGCCTTAGCGAGAATAAGGGGTCGTACATAGACGTGGATGAACTAAGATTGTCTGCTTGGTTGGAAATGAACTTGTTGACAGGTCAAAAGGGAAACTCAAGTCTGCGTAAGTCGAAACTAGAAGAAAAGGCTTGTCAAAGCAAGGGGTTGAGAGTGAGGGTAGAGATGAAAGTAAAACTGGGATAGAACGATAAGGAAAAAAGGCGTAAAAATTGAAACAAGAATACAAGAAGGCCTGAGCAGTAGCATCCTCACGTTTACCCACTCCGCTCGATGCAGCAGATACGGCGCCGTCGATTATCCTCAGTAAAGACCAGAAAACCAAAAACCGTTTGAAGAGAAGTACAATGTACCATCTTCAAAAACCCCAGGAACTATGGACGAGAAGGGATGAAATAATAGACTGTATAAGTTTAGGAGCAAAAAATCGGTCACTGAGAAAACAAATGAGCAAATCACTATGTTGTTTAGCCACCAAAGCTGACTGAAGCTCACATTAGGTCGAAAGCGTTTACGGACTTCAAAATTTGCCTGTAGATTGGGCAAAAAAGAATTGCGTTTATTGCGCGGACACTGTGTAGGAACGGGTGGGCGCATGCCCTTCCAGTGAAATGCGCCGACCATATCTGCAACCTTGCCACCACAAGCAAAACAAAGTGGTCTCCCAGCAGAAAAGCTGCGAATCTGTCGGCCTGAAAAAGTGTCACCAAAGGAGTAGCATCATACGTAATCCATGTATCTCAATCTCTTTTCCCTGAATAATTTCGTTAAGCTGATTCAATGCCCTGCAAGGCAAGAATGTTTGGAAAACGGCTTACTCTTTTAGAGACCGATTTTGCTTCGTGACATTTTCAATTTCTGATACATGTTCTAGGGAGACAACATGACGAAAGAAAGAACTTACCTTGGTTGGAACTCTCGAAATGTTCCCTTACGCCTAAAATGAAGAAGAATTGAGAGGTAATTGGGCATACTGGACACAACGGAGGAGAGCTCTGTCCACACAAGTTGACGTAAGTTGAATAGAGAAGAAACCACAGATGATTCCAAGGTGTGCGATTTTTCCATAGCATCCATCTTATCCTCCAGCTGATGAGATGCGGAAGAAAAAGTAGCAAGAATTCTGGAATTCGAGAGAGAAGCAGAAAGGAGTAAATTAATGGTAAAACAGGGAAAAACGCTCAACGTCTAACAGATCAGATAAATTCCGAAACCAAGGATGAACTGGGTTCTCGGGCCAATGACATTTAGCAATTTAAAAACAAGGTAATGAGTCTATATGGAACACGTACTTAATAGAAACGAGGAGTCAAGCAAATAGGTGTTATGACGGAACTCAAGAACAGAGCATAAAGTCCTCTGGACAAATGTTAGGGTAAAGGGATACTGAGCAAAACAGCAAAAAATGGAGAAGCCGAACGAAGGAGCCAATCAACAGGCCCACAGCTAATAGGTTACGGGTTATTAACTCAGCTAGACTGCTCCTGACAATGACCGCCTCAAACCAAGAAGTCCTTGGTCGAAGTGCAAAACAGCCAAATAGGATATGCAGCTGGCCGTAGTCGAACGTGCGCAATCGACTACAGTTAAGAATATGTAAACAGAACAGATTCCTAGAACGCTAGGTGTGATTGACCCCAAGCATACTTGAATGAGATCACGCAGTTCTAAGAGTGATTTGAATGTGCCCCACCACTATATTGCTTTGGGTGGACTGTCCTATGTCTCTGATCCTATTCAAACATACGACTGAAGATATCTTGTCTAGAAATTTTAAAAGGCTACTGGAATTTTAATTGTGATCTTCTACCGGGTGACCGCGCAACCGACTTAGATAAGAATGGATCTCAGCGTTGTGACATGGTTTGCGTACCATCGTGAAACATCGAGCCATGCTTACAGTCACACATTCCATAAGGCCAACGGTTACGGGTCAGACTAACTCAGCTTCACAAAATACAATCCCCTTTGGAGATTAGGGATAGGTCGATGGCCCAGTTCATAAAAACCTACTGATGGGAATACCAGGTTTACGGGATAAAAGTTCACAGAACGATTGGCGTAGAGCACGAGCACCACACAATGTCGCCGACGACTGCAAGACACACCGGTTCAGTTCGAAAATAGTGATCCGAGCAACGAGGGGCTGCGGATCTAGTTGTCACGATTAACAACGCAAGAATAACGACTAATAACAAAGGCAAGATAGTAAGATTAAAGGCCAATAGAATCTAATGATGTATGTAATCTCAACTCATAATGTAATTAGGTATCTTTAAGCTAAATAAATTTCATTTCACTTTATTTGGTTTGTTGTCCATCTGAATAATCTCCTATTAACATGCACACGTTGCTTACGCTAACTGGGGTTATCTTCGTTAACTTTATTGCGTTTGTAACATTTTGTTACTAAATTGTGCACATTCTGCACTTATCACAGGTTCGTTGCTAACCAAGTTACTTCATATGCCAAATTAGCGAAGAATTATGTCTGCATAGCCGTATACTTTGACAGATATACTTTTTGATAATGTTATTTCAAGTGATTGCCTGTTGTTTGACATCCCCGGTGGGGCTGCGTTCGATGTGCATGTTGACAAGGTGCCGCACCGTTTATTACCCACTACCTCGTGGATACTGGCTCGAGGAGAGTTGGTCGTTGTTGGACGGGACGGGTTGCATGGTCCTTGTGGCCGTGTTAGGCTCGAAGAGTGGTTCCAAGCGCTCAGTGTGAAGCGAACCATGGTCCAGGCACCGCTTTGTGTGTGATAGATTCCCAAATACAGCGTGCTTGTGTTTGCCTGTGAAGGAGTGTGATGAAATGTGGCACCTATCCACATGCCTCCCGTTTTCATTCCTTCTGGCTTATACTGGATATGAATGTGTGGTTGTAACTGTAGGAGATGTAGCGCAAGCCACAAATGGCCCTCCGTAGGCGCGCGCGTCCTGTGGCTGTAGTGTGGAGGTCATGGTGACAGGCAAATCTGGAACCTGACGCCGCCAATCAATCTTGACAGTCTAGCAACTAGACATAGAGCATACAAAAACCATGGAGATTAGCAGATAAGGGGGAGTCACTGCGTCATAATCATCTTGGCATAAAAGTTGAAGGTGAGCAGCACACTTCAGTACTACGTTGTGTGAAAAAAGAAACATTCTGACAAAAAGTAGAACATATTTGTAATTTGCTTTTCCCACCCTGATTTTTCTAGTTATTGTCACTTTCAATGTTTGAAGTAGTAAACATGTGAATCAATACTATTCTGTACACAACTCTTCCACTGATTTCGGTTGCGGGTCATGTCTTCAAGTGTTAGGCCATTCGCACTCCTCATCTTTGGGTCCCCATCCCGGAAAACGCATGGGTTCAACAGCGGCTAGACATAACGTCGGCGATATCATGTGCTGTCGCCAAGTGGAAGGCTGAGCACCATGCGGTCGCCTCCAGCCAGGTCCTTGACGAGCGCATAGAGCGCGACGCGGTAGACGCTCAGGTGCCATGCGTAGGACGTGACCGATCCATATCAACTGGCGCAGAAAAACCAGTTTGTTGAAGGGAATACTCGCATTCCCCAAGGCCCGACGTCGAACGTTATTATTCTCAACTTAATGTTGCCACCAAACACGAGCAATCCACCTTAAGCAACCGTTATCGAAGGCAGAAAGATGATGCATGTCTTCCACGCGAATCGGCCAGAACTCGCGCCAATACAACGAACAGATACGTTGTAACCGCGGCCCTTTAGTGAGAATAAAACGTCGCGACGACGCCACAAGTGCCTCAAATTGACAAATGCTGATGGAGCTTTAGCGATACGAAGAGAAACTTCTTTGCTGATAGTGCCGTCAGCAGAAACACAGCTCCCAAGGTAGATGAAATTATCTACCTGTTCAAGTTGTGCACCTTCGAGAGTGAAAGCCAATCCTTGAGCAGTACTTTACACTTCGATGGGGCGAAGCTCATGCCATACTTAGATGCTTCAACCGGCAAACGATCCAGAATGAGTTGCGTACCTGAGGATCGTCACCAAGTAAGGCGATATCATCAGCATAATCTAAATAGATCCCGCGCTCATCCGGTAGAAGCTGAAGGACAAAATGTTGGAAATCTTTTATAGCAAGCAACAGAACGTCTTCGATTGCCAAGACGAAGAGGAATGGGGGACATGGGGCAGCCCTGTTGCACACCACTATTGACAGCGAATTGCAAATAAAGCTTGACATAGACTCTCACTCTACCAGAGGTATGAAAGTAAAGTGCTCGTAAGATTGCGGTATATTTTTCTGGCACCCCGTTCTTTAGCAAGCAACGCCATAAAGCAGGTCCATCAACGGAGTCAAAAGCGGCACGTCTGTTTAGGAATGCATAATCATCATTGTCATACACGTTAGCTAGAGGTGGGGAACACCTCAGCCACTGTGCCGCAATACACAGAAAAAAGGAGAAAAAAAATGCGACGGGTTCAAGCCGGCTGAGCTACCGGTAACGGATGGGCATCGTTCCGGTAAGCCACCAGCCGGCTACTGTGCATCAAAAAATAATATGCGAAATCACATAAAACTAAATAATGAGATCGTGGTTGGAGGGGGAGGCTAAGAGGGATGAGGTGGGACAAAGAAACTCACAGCACGAACGCCACTGAGGTCGGCTCCTTGCCATATCAGCAAGTGTGTCCAACCAAACGTGTCCATCGTCTTTCGGACCCCAACCAGCGAGCCGAGACGCTCCAACCGAGGCCAGCTAAGTAGTGAGGGCCTTCATTCCTCTCGACCAAGTCATTGCTTGGCCATCCCTCCTCTTCTTCCATCCACACCCCCAGCGAGCAAACAACGTACGTCGCAAGAGTCGGTGGGCTGGCATGCGTAACACATGGCCGAGTCATCGGAGCCTGCTGCGTGAAATGACGGTGCTGAGCGGTTCATTTCCTTTTCCTGTGCCATAAACAAGGCGTCGAACACGCTCGTTGCTCACGCGGTGTTCCCACCAGATGTGAGCTAAATTGCGAAGTCACCGGTGGTCAAACGTAACTAGCCTCTTCAGGTCCGCTACTTTAAGCGGCCAGGTTTCACAACCGGACAGTAGGGTCGAACGTACTGCTGCATTGTACACTCTACCCTTCAGGGCAAGAGTGATGTCGCGCCGGCGCCATAAGTGGCGAAGGTTAGCAAAAGCGCCCCGAGCTTTTGCTATACGGTTCGTGATCTCATCCTCAATCCTACGGGCACTGATACAACTTCACAGGTAGTTGAATTTTTGAACGACTTCTAGCTGATCCGCACCAACGGTCAGCATAGGAGGCGGTCCAGACCAATCTTGGAGGAACGCTTTGCACTTCGAGCGTGCGAAGCAAAGCCCGAAGTGACGGACAGCTAGTGCTAATCTGTCCAGTGCCGCCTGACACGTTTGTGAGCTGTCACAGATTAGGGCAATATCGTCAGCATACTCTAAGTCAAGAAGTCGTTCTCCTGGGAGCAGATCCACACCTTCTAAGTCGTGTCCTGTGAACGCGATGTCCATGACTTCGTCAACAGCGAAGTTGAAGAGGAAAGGTGACAGCGGGCATCCTTGTCTCACGCCGCTGGAGATATTAAAGGGCGACGACAACTTGCCGTAAGCCCTCACTCTGCCCGAGCTACGCGCATATAATGCTCGGATAATATTCACATATTTCTCAGGTACACCTTTCCTGGGTAGACAGTCCCAAAGTGCATGTCTATCCACCGAATCGAATGCACCTTTGATATCGAGGAACACGACAACGGTGGGCCGCCAATATATGTGACGGTGCTCCAACAACTGACGCAAGGTGAAGATGTGGTCAATGCAGCCACGACCTCGACGAAATCCAGCTTGCTCTTCACGAATCTGGCTTTCACGAGTGCCAGTCAGTCTGTGAAGGATGACAGAGGCAAGCAATTTAGAGGCAATAGAAATCAAACTGATTCCTTTATGGCTGCCGCATTCCGATCGTGAGCCTCCCTTGAAAATTGGGACTATGACGGAGCGGCTCCAATCGGTTGGGACAGTTTCCTGCTCCCATAGTTTGACTAGTAACTCGTGTAAATCATCCACAAGA